ACAGTTTCATGGTGATATTTGAAAATAACATAGTTCATGGGTCACATTCGATGCATCATGGTAATAGCTAAATCAACGGGGGAAAGTTTCAATTAGGTTAAATGCTTAATTTGGTCTCTCAACTTTATGAAATGAACATCTTTGGTCCCTTAACAATTTTTTGTACTTTTTTGATCCATTAACTATACGAAATGTACTCCGTTAGTTCTTCTGTTAATTTTGATTGTTAACTACTTATGTGGCATTTTTTTATAATTTTTTTGATGACGTGGCAAAAACAAATTGAAAACGTGTTGATGTGGATTTTTTTTCATGTCAACTCACATTATTACTATTTATATTTTAAAAAAATAAAATAAAATAACTCACGTTCATCTTCTTCCTTTCTCTTTTTCTTTTTTTTTCTTCCTCTTCTTTCTTCCTCTTCTTCCTCGGGTCATTGTGCTGGGTTCGACCGAACCCAGAACCCAACTCCACTTTTTTTTTTGTTTATATGATTGTTTGCCAAGAGATTATCCGAATTGCAGGTTGTTGTAAGGGATTTTTGGGCAACTGATTTTTTTTTTGGTTATATGATTATTTGCCGAGAGATTATCCAAATTGCAGGGGTTTTTGGGCAATTGAGTTAAGTGAATCGAGCTGGGTTTAATGGAACGTATTTGCTGGGTTTTGTTCTGTCGAACTTCAATCTTGAAAATGGAAAGAACACCGTTTATGAAAAGAATAGAAACAGTAACCGACGGGGAAAGTAGCAATTCTTAGTAGTGATGTGGGACCCATTTGGATGGAATTGGTGTGTTTTCACCAAGTAGCATGTGATATGGCAAAAGTTTTATGCAAATCATCACCTTTTTAAGTTTTGCTCTCCACATCATCAAAAAAATATAAAAAATGCCACCTAAACAGGGTTAACGGCCCAAACTAACAGAAGGACTAACGGAATGCATTTCATATAATTGAGGGATCAAAAAAGTGCAAAAAATTAGTTGAGGGACCAAAAATGTGTAACTCACTAAAGTTGAGGGACCAAATTTAGCATTTAACCTTTCAATTATTGTATCTTCCGTAAATTCAAGATTCCAATACTCTGGATTGACAGAGACAATCCAATCACAAACTATATATAATTGCAGAGTCCAA